ACCTTATTTTTTTCTTTAAGATATATTTATTTTATTGGAAAGTCATATTTACTGAGAAAAAGATCTTCCATCCTCTGGTTCACTTCCCAAGTGGCTGCAATGTCTAGAGCTGAGCTGATCTGAAGCCAGAAGTCTGGAGCTTCTTCCTGTGTCTCCCTCTCAGGCTTTGGGCCATCCTCCACTGCTTTCCCAGGCCACAAGCAGGGAGCTGGTTGGGAAGTAGAGCAGCTGGGATACAAACTGGCACCCATATGGGATCCTGGCCCATGCAAGATGAAGATTTTAGCCAGTTGGGATCCTGAACTCATGTGGGAGATCTGGAAGAAGCTCCTGGCTCCTGACTTTGGATAAGCTCAGCTCCATCCATTGAGGCCATTTCAGAGTAAATCAGTAGATGGAAGATCTTTTTCTTTGTCTTTCCTTCCCCCGCCACACACAAAAAATAAATACATCTTTAAAAGAAGATCCTGCTGTCATCTATAAAGATGGCAATGTTGAAATTCACCTTGATTTTTAAAAAAAGACAAGAATCTATGCCATCTTGGAGCTTGCTTTGATGAATGAGTAGACAAGACGCTAAATGATTGGCTTATATATTTGAGAAAACTCAAGTGCTATGAAGAAGAATAAACGATGAGAGAGGATTGCTGGAGCCAGGGGTAGGAGAACAATGCTGTTATTGTGTAAGAGGGAATTGATAGTTGGGTCAGCTTATTGCTTGAGTGAACAGCCCTTACTTAGCGCTTCACAAAGGCCTTTGGGAAGCAGCCAGTACGTTGACAACAGATGTTGAAGAGGGTCAGGACAGGTGTCATGGAGCTCCTCTTTGAGAAGAGGAAACTGTCATTTGGAGAGTTTAAGGCAGCCCCACAACTCATAACCTCACAGTGAAAGCAGAGGCAGGGTTGGTACCTAAATCAACCCACTAACTATTCTTTAGGGTACGACTTACGACTCATTTGCCCCAAGGTGACCACACGCAGAGCAAGAAGAACATCACTGACCACCTTCTGTGTATCAGACCCAATCCTTCAGATCTGTGTAGCACCCCTCGGGTGACAGACCCAGGCAGCCTTTCTTGGTGAGTGAGCCAGCATTTATGAAGAGATACATCCAGGTGTGTCTTTACTGACTTCCCTTGCCTTTGCATTTCATCTTTCAATTTATGATGCACACACAGGGCAGGAAAAAAGTAAAACCTCTACTGGTAAAAACGATTCTTTTCCTCCTGGTCGGCACCCAGAGAGGTTCCCCGCTGCCTTCTCCCAGATCAAACCTAAGTCCCCAGTAGGTCCTATGCCCCCCCCCAAACTGGGGAATGTATCATCTCTATTCAAAATTAACCAAGGCATACATTTGCAACTTATCAGTTTTGACTGCAGTAAATACAGCAACCAATCTTCCAACACCATGAATATTTCATTTTGGAGATGACTGCATAAATATTGTATTTGGATATTATGGTCTGGGGCATCACATTAAAATTGCAAGACAATGCCATTATCCCTATAATGGAACACAAAATTAAAAAGATGGTCAAGGGGAAGAAGAATTTCTGCTTATCCTCTCACCTGGTCTTTTCTTCTCTCCTAGATAGTTTATTTTTCATGTATTTTTTAAAATAAATTATTTAAAAGATAAAGTCTTTCACCATGAAGAAGTGCACTGGCTGGACACCATTGCTATTCATCACCAGCCAGGGTCAGAATAGATTTTATTTTCCTAAATTCAGGGGTTTGCTTTAGTGACCTGTTAAAGCTGAGTTAGGTTCGAGTGGTAATGTTGTGACTATCATGATAAACCTTCAAGGAACAAATCCCTGAATAAACACAGCCTTGCTGTATGTTACACATTTGAGAAGATGCAACAGGCAAAGAATAAGGCCAGGAACTTTGACAGCTGGGTCCTCTAGTTGGATCTACCCTTGAGTGTGTCATCTGTGTATCCTTAGAAAAATTGTCAGTCTTCTCTGGGCTCCCATGGGTCCCTCTGTAATGTAATTCCTGCTCCAAACCCTCTTCCTGGGGGAGTGTGACAGAGTGGATTACAACATGTTATACTCAGCCCTCTTCATACACTTCCTCTGGTTGTCTGACCTCAAGAAGGACTTAACTTTATAACCCAGACCTTGCCCGGCATTGCCATTTAACTCAGAGTGGACCCTTCTTTGTGTTTCAAACTCTCCCGGCTGTTGGCAAGTAAAGCAGCACCATTTTGAGTTGAAAAGCAAATTTCAGCCTAATTATGTTGATTCGCCAGCGTCATTACTGTCACTGTCTTTGTAACCATCAGCAGTTTTGTTAAGACTTCAATATATTACATTATTATCTGCAGTGAGTAACCAATGTCCACAGGCAAGTCCACTGCTCATGCGGAAGGCACTGGGAATGTGGGTATAATAATGAGATTTCAGATAATCCCCTTGAGAGGGTGACAGTGAGTTGGTGGGAGGCCCTGTAGAAGGGATTCAGTGTGACAGCAGAGTGAGGCCATGTCCAGCTTCTGCACCCCTGATTGTCATGGTCACTGCTGACTTTTACAGAGCAGCAGCCTGGTATTGCTCTGGGAACAGTTAAGGGAGGCAAAGAGGAGGAAGCCAAGGTCAGCTGAAGTAAGGACTGAGTACTAAAATGACACATCTGTCCCAAAGACACAGAGAGTTCTAGAACTCTAAGCAGACTGGCCTGGTGGCATAGGTGGCATCCAGGGACTGTGTATGAAGGCCAGGAACCCCCACCCATCCTGGTAATGATGAAATTAAACTCTAGGACTTTTTCACTTGCAAGTCATGACTGCCATCTTAAAATGCCTTAAACCCCTAAGTATGAGTGGATCCAGCATGGGGGAATGCAGGATCCCGGGCAAATCCATCAACACATTGCACTGTATCCTTTCATCTCTCTTCCCTCTGTGTTGCTTTATCAGACAACCTCTCTGAACTCATGGTGACAGAATGGCTGCCAGCTGCTTTTATGCTAGGCTTTTATTCTCCCAACAGAAGTCTTATGACAACCCTTCCTTCCTGGCAGTACCAGCAAAAGCGCAAGCTAAAGATCTTCCATCCACTGGTTTATTTCCTAAGTGGTGGCGATGGCTGGAGCTGAGCTAACCAAAGCCAGGAGCCAGGAGTGTCTCCCAAGTGGCTGCTTTGAGCCATCCTCTATTGCTTTCCCAGGCCACAATCAGGGAACTGGTTGGGAAGTGGAGCAGCTGGGACACAAAGCAGTGCTCATATGGGATCCTACTCCCAAGGCAGAATGTAGCCACTAGACTATGTCACTGGGCCTCTTTGGAAATGCAATGTGATTGATACTTTGGAGCTCATTAGACAAAGTAGGAGGTGGGAGGAAGGGGTGTGTCCTTCCAGGCATGTCCACAAGCCTCCAGCTGAAGGCAGTGCATGGTGATGGGTAGATGAGGCAGGGAGGTTATGGCGTTGTTACAGAGAAACGTCAATAGAAGAGAGTTGATAAGGGTTTACCAAATCCAAGATCCTGAACAAACATAAGAATCAACAGGCTGGAGAGCAGAGAGAGTGCTGGATTGGGAGACCACCAGGCTCTAAGCTCCCGACTGGATAACTAGCACCTTAGCATCATAAACCTTCTTCTCTTGGACTCCCGCTCAAGACCAGCACAGTACCTGACCCCCAGTCAGTGTGCAGTGAATGCTTACTGCAAGTGAACCTGACAGTTCATACCAGAACACTTGGTTCTAGTTCAGCTTCCCAACACACCTACTTCACCATCCGTATAACCTCAACAGCTTTCATGTAGGCAGCTACAAAATACGATGCAGCAGGGCGACCTTTGCCTGGCCAAACCCAAGATGGAATGATCATATTGATGCTTGCTGAAGCCTGAATTATTAATCTGGGATCATGGGAAGAACTCAAGAGGTCCATGACCTTGGAAGGGAAGGAAATTATGGCTTTATTTTCATTTTGCGTTATAGCTGCTGCAGATAGCTCTAAATACCATTTATGTTTCTTCAAAACCATAGCAGTTATTAGACTTTCCATGGCATCTTGTTATTTAATACTTCAGCATACACATAAGTTATCACACATTTGATGATTTTCTAGTATTACAATGTGTGAATCAAAACTACAAGTATCTAGTAACTTTGGCATTTGATGGGGTTTGACGTATTTTGTAAATTCTATTAGCTTTTAAATTTTTTATGTGATTTTGAAAGATTTCTTTTACTTGGAAATCAGAATTACAGAATTTAGAGAGAGATGGAGACACAGAGAGATCTTCATCTGCTGTTTTATGCCCCAAATGGTCCTAGTAGCCAGAACTGAGCTGATCTCAAGCTAGGAGCCAGGACTCTCCCATGTGGATGCAGGGGTCCAAGGCTTTGGGCCACCCTCTGTTGCTTTCCCAAGCAGTGATCAAGCAGATTGGAAATGGAGCATCCAGGATTCACATTGGTGGCCAATGGGATGTCAATGCTATAGGCAGAGGATTAGCATGCTATGTCACCACAAAATCCCCACCTTATATATTTTACAGCATGCATGTGGAGCTCTGTTCTAAGTTAGGGACTCATGAGCTACATTTAACAACTGCCAAGACATCCGGGACATGGAAAAGTCATCAGGAGTTCTCTGATAAGAACTCCTGGCTCCTGCCTAGCCCAGCTCTGGCTGTGGCAGTCATTTGAAGAATGAAGCCAAAGTTTAAATGACCCTCTCATTCTCCCTATGCCTTTCAAATTATAGTATTTTTTAAAAAGCTCTAGGAATGAAGCAGGTATAACAGGTTGGTCAACATTGTGCTAGGTAAGTCCCTGAAGCTGTCCATGCCTTGGTGACCTTCTCTGTAGAATGGGGTAATGGTGACACCCACCCGCTAGCGAGGCACAAGAGAGAAATTGCACACAGAGCACCTGGAGCAGTCACTGGCAAGCAGAAAAAGCTGTCATTCTCTTTCCACTCAGGATGAAGTCCTCTCCCTTCAGGTACTTTTGGGCTAAGGGCCGTTTGTCTCATCTAGGTTCATCCGGAAACAAGGCCTGGACCGGCTCTTCCTGGAATGTGACGCACACATGTGGCGCCTGGGGGATCGGCGGATCCCAGAGGGTATCGCGGTGGACGGCGGCTCTGACTGGTTCCTCCTGAACCGGAAGTTTGTGGAGTATGTGACATTCTCCACAGATGATCTGGTGACCAAGATGAAACAGTTCTACTCTTACACCCTGCTCCCAGCTGAAGTGAGTATCCTGGAAAAATCCCCCGAAAGAGCCAGGGAGATGATATTACACTTTGACCTCTGAACGTCCAGGTGGAGGTGGAAACCTGCCTTAGCAGCCAAGCCCTGCATCCCTAGAAAGATCTCTGGCCTCTCCCTGAACCCCTCTGTACGGAGATGGTGGATGCTTCCAGCAACAACCCACACACAGAAACAGCAACCCTTCCCCAGCTCAAAGCAGTTGGCCCCATGTTGGATACAAAATCATTTAACATGCTGATTTGTTACAATAGAACACTTTATTGCCATCTTCCTTAAAACAGTTGTAAAAAAAAATCACAAAATTCTGATATCTACAGGTCAGTGGTGCTCCTAGAGTTGTGCAGTATATGACCTGGACAGCTGTGCTCATCCTCTCAGAACACTCCCATATCAATTTTTGATACCCTTCACTGTCATCCACCGTGGAATAGCCACATTTTCCCCCTTTTATTTGAAAAGCAGATTTTACAGAGAGAAATAGAGTCGTCCCTCCTCTGGCTCAACCTCCACGTGATCACAATGGCCAGACTGAGCGAATACAAAGTCAGGACCTGGGAGCTTCTTCCAGGTTTCCCACATGGAGCCAGCCTCAGCTGTTGTCCTAGATCATAAGCAGAAAACTGGATGAGAAGTGGAGCAACTGGGAAATGAATCAGTACTGACATTCCATGCCAGCACTTACAGTTAGAGGACTAGTATGCTATACCACTGCACCAGACCCTTGACATGTTTTTCAAGCCCAAGAATCCCTTTTGCCATCTGGAATCCTGTTCTGGCCATTTCCTACTAAAAAAGAGCATTTAGAGATAGCCCGCCCTCAGAGGATGCCCCAGCCTCCAGGCCTGCACCAATGGCTTGGATGGCCACTGCAGTCAGATGCTCAGAGTTCAGGACTTCCCCACTGGAAACACTTGGCAAGCTCCAGACCTTGGGGTGGGAAGCTCTTCTGTACAAAATTCCAGGCTACTGTGGAACAGCCTCTGCCTCACAAGGAAGTGGCCAGGGATACACTGACAGGCTGTGGCTCCCTTGTTACTGCTAGACAGAGAGCTTCTAGATTCACCTCCCTGACCTCTAGCTTGCTTTTATCCTCCTTTGCAACCCCATACGATTCCATGCCTGGCTCCGGTGCCACAGAGCCTATGACATTCCTCATGTGTGGCCTCCCACTGTGGGCCACACACGCCGCGCGTTTCTACAGACCATGCAGGACCAGGCATCTCATCTCAGGATACCCACGACACTCAGCAGTGTCTGGCACAGTTCCAAGCTCTGGGCAGCACTGACCGCATCACTCTAGAAGGAAGCTGCACTTGTCATCACTGGGCTAGGTTTTACTATTCTGCACACATGTTAAGTAATCAGCCTTTAATCCTATTTCAGTGAAAATCACCTTTTCTCTCAATTCTGATAACCTCCTCATCCATTATCTTGCAGGGAATTTTGGCATCATTATGAAAAGACACTGGGCTGTTGATAATTGGGTGCTTTCCCCGCTGCCTGATGGAGAATATGTGCCTCTGTGGGCTTGTAGACAAGTCAAGCTTAAATCTGGGTTCAAATGCATGTCATTTGGCTTGCGGGGAAACCAGTAGGGAGCAGAGGGTGGAGCTCGATTCTTCCCACCCACTCATTTAGAGGAGATAATGTGGGAATTTGGTTGATTTCATCAAACTTCTCATGAAATTAATGGTGGCCAAATCTACTCATGCAGTCTGTTCTCTTCCCCTAATCCAGCACACAAGTCTGTGCTAGACTCCTGCCTCCACCCTGCTTCTTCACCTTGCCCCAAGTCTCTGCTGCACCCTACCTCTGTCTGCCTTTCCCCACGTTCCTCCTCATCCACCTCCAAAGGTCTGAATTAGGAGAAATATGAAGGCTGTGCCCACACATTTGTAACAAAGATACATATTCCTCAACAACTTCTCTTGGGAAGAGAGCAGGAGAAATATATTCCCCAGAGAGCTAAGGCTGTTGTAAAGCAGTGTTAAAATAGACCATTTTGTCTCCCTTTCCTGTGTGTCTGCGTTGAGAGGGCAGCCAAATGTCCTTGGAGTAGGAAGATAGAAGGTGGCCTGTTTCAGCACCGTGGACAGCAAACAGCCTTGCTCACATCTTCCCTGTGTTGTCCCGTTGTGTTGGTGGCTAAGGCAAAAGGACACCTAGATTCACCCAGCTTTTAGACTCTTTCTTGGGCGGGAGAGCGGTAAATTCCAGATTATCAGCCTTTATTTTCACACTGTCTCAGACCTGGGGCCTTTGGTTCCAGGTCTGGCAAAGCAAGGATCCTCTTGTCCTAAAGTTTTCTGCAAAATCGCCCCCGGTTCCCCAGTGTTTTCCTTTAGTTCTCATGTGTTGATGTACCTGTGGGCATCTCCGCCACTGCTGAGCAGAGAAATGACGATATGGATGATAAGAGAGGTTTTGAAATCAGAGTCTGTATGTTGGGCAAAGATAATTTAGGGAAGCACTCAGAGCTGCAGACTTCTAAGTAGAATTAAGCCACTCCAGCCAGAGCATCCATCTGTACCTGGATGGACCAAACTGAGCTGAGTGTATCTGCAGGCAGAAGGAACCTGTGACTTTCTTAAGAGAGTCCATGCACCCCTGGTTGTCCCCAGGAAGGACTCTCCTACTCAGCCCTGTCCCCCCTCTCTCCCCTCCAGTCCTTCTTCCACACAGTCCTGGAGAACAGCCCCCACTGTGACACCATGGTGGACAACAACCTGCGCATCACCAACTGGAACCGCAAGCTGGGCTGCAAGTGCCAGTACAAGCACATCGTGGACTGGTGCGGCTGCTCTCCCAACGACTTCAAGCCCCAGGACTTCCATCGCTTCCAGGTGAGCCCACCTGCCGTGCCAGGCCTGCAGCCACACCTAGCCAGGGAGCCTCTGTAGTTATCAGGACAAACCTGCAGCTGAGCTTCCCCCATGGTGCCTGACCCTGCCGGCTGTTGATAATAATGACAACGCCTCAGCCATGGCCAACATCGCTTCCATGCTTACTCTGCTCCAGGGCTGTTCTAACTATATTGATTCATGAACCCTACAACCACTTTATCACACAAGTATTATTATTATTATCGCATTTAGGAATAGGGAAATCAAGGCATGGAGAAGTCAAAAAAACCTTGTTCAAGATCATAGATCTCAGGGTATCTGTTCCCACAGCAACTTTCTATGCTACTGTCAACCAGAATCCCTTGAAATATTTGTCACATATTTCTGGGTGTAAAGTCAAATGTTAAGGGCTGAGTTTCTCAGCTTGAGCAATCTGACTGTTGCAACTGCTATGTTCCCTGTTGAAAGGAGAACACTGTGCATGAGAAGAAGCTTAACAGTAGCCCTGGCTCTGCTTAGCACATGCCAGTAGCACCCCTCCGCCACCTTCCTCCTCCTCCAGTTGTGACAACCAGGATTGTTCTAGATCCCAGCAAGTATCCTCTGGGGGCCAGCTCACTGCTGGTTGAGAACCACTGATCTCTACTAAGGTCCAGGAGGTTATTGTTTTAGTGTATTACCTTGTGGGATATTCTGATGAATAGCCAGGTTTGGAAACCACAGCACTCCGTGAACTTGAAGGAGTAGCACAGGTAGAAATGTTATTACCGTCACAGCTGTCTCTGTGCAGCCTAGCAATTTGCAGTGCTGGAGTGAACAGAGGCAGGAGGGCACAACTGCTCATCTACTTCCCGTGAGCCCGAGGATGTCTCAGCCCCCAGGTCTTAGCCCATATGGCAGTTCGCTTCTATCCCTCCATCTCTTCATGGAAGCTGAGGGGAGGGGTGCTGTGGATTTCTTCCCTCCACTCCTCTTTCACCGTATCTTGATTCTGGCTACACAGGGAGAACCCTGCGGAAGAGCTAAGCAAATGACTCAGAGGCCACCAGAGCCACCGTGTGGACAGGATGTGCTGCTTCTCCAACCCCTGACAAGGAGGGAAGGGAGCGCAGACACCCTGGCCCAGGGCAAGACTTATAACTCGGCCCAAGCATGCTACCCACCACTCTGGCACAGAGCTGGGATGCCCCCAGGGACATGTGCTGCCTGCACGGTGAAACTTCCAGTCTTCCAGCCTGGCCTCGCAAAGCCTGGTCCACAGACTCTGGCATCAGCAACACCGGGGAGCTTGTGAAAAGCGTAGTATCCCACCCGACTGTAGACCCAGAATCAAGCCCATTAGCCAGGTCCCTGCTGGGGCAGCTGGAGCACTGCCAGGCTCCATTGGCTCTGCATGCCAGCTCTTCAGTGGGAGTTGGCTTTGCTAGAACTGATGCAGGGCAGGAAACTGAGGCACAGAGCAGCCAGCTTCCTTTCCTGTGGCCACCCAGTGAGGGCAGGGGATTTTCAGGGTTAGAGAAGTGTTCTGTTCTGAGTGTTTTCAACTCTGGACTGGGTTTTGTCCACTAGAGCTTGCAGCTTTTCTGGTCCCAGCATGCATGGACGCAGCATGCACAGCAGGCTTCATCCTGACATTTGCCTTCCTCGGGGTCCCCACATGAGCAGTTGCTACAGGGAAGTCTTCTGTCTCAGTGGTGGGTTGAAAGCTGCCCAGGGATCCCCTCCAGTCCACATTGGTGAGCGTGTGAACTTGGGTGGCCTTTGGCTGTCCACTACATACGTGGAAAAGATATGCCACACAGTGAGAGGACTGCAGGGGGCGATGTTTGGCCTATACCAGAGGAAAAGAGCCCTCTGTTTTGTGTAAGGCCAGACTCAAAGATCCCCATCCTTGCCAGCAAGTAGCCCAGAGCTGTTGGGCCATGGCCTTAGGAGTGAGGAAGCTCCTCTCAGAAGGCTGGGAGGCATCATTGGTATTCCAACCCCAGCCTCCCGGGAACATCATGGACTCAGAAAGACAGGCAAGCAGAGAGGGAGGCAACATCGGGCACTCGCAGTGCAGTCTTTCACAGTAGACAAAGGTCAGCAGCATCGCCCAACATGTAGCATCAAGCCACGGCTGCCTGTAAGGAACTTGGAGTTCTTGTTCACAGAGCTCCACAAAGGAGCATGATAAATATAGCAATGTGCCCTTTCCAAAGATGCAGCCGTGGTCAGAGACACGAAGGCAGAGAGGAGAGGCCAGCCTGGGGCAGGGGCCGGCTCTCTGCCCCCAGAACGTGAAGACTTAGCACGTGGGAGCCAACCTCAGGGGCGAGGAACAGTAGGCACTAACAGCCTACTTTTTAATCAACATAGATAGATTTGCATTTTGCTAATTATCAAGTACATTTTATAGGAAATGCAAAATCTATTTCTAAATGTCACTCATAGTTCTGTTGTCCTCACATAATCATTGTGCCTGCCAACCATTGGTTCCCAATTGTTCCAAGTTTGTTCCTATTTGATTGATTTCCTTGTACAGAGATAATATTTCTTTAATTGATGTACAAACATGTTCATCTTTGTGGAGTGCAAACTGATGTTTCCAAGCATGTGTATGTTATATATATATACCCGTTTTAAGGATGAAGAAGTTGAGGCCTCCCTATGATTGGGTAGCTTGCCCTAAAGCATACACAGCTAGAAAGTATCTGAGGGGGGTTTGAACCCAAGTAATCTGGCTCCTTTCAGGGCTCCTGTAAAGTCAGGCTGACCCCTTCACCCCAAGAGAGGGGTCCCATGGCTCATAAAGCAGAGAAAGAAGGTGGGATGCTAAGAATAACAAAGGGTGTTTATTATCAGGGGCTTCCAGTTTCCACGAGCTCAACCCTGGAGGGACGCAGTGGGGAAAGCAAATAGGTTTCAGAGTCATCAGATATGGATTCAAAACGTATCTCTTCTCTGTTCAGTGTCCTCACCTGTGAAATGGGAGTAATAGTCCCCTTGTCCCTGAGGCAAGGTGGGGGTAACTGGAGGCCTGACACAGAGGCGGGCCCTGCCAAGTGTGCATGCTCAGAGGTGACTTTCTTCCTGTGGTTCCTAGTCTGCTGCGAGCAGGGCTAGACTCAAATTCAGGCTAGTAGCAGCATGGAAGGGCACAGACGCTGTGGTGCGGAAGGCAGGCTCCCTCCTGAGACACCTGCATCCCAGGTGGGAGTGCCTGGGATTGAGGTTCACTTTTGCATCTGCCCCAGCATCCCACAGATGCACATCCTGGGAGGCAACAGTGATGGCTCAGATGCTTGGGTCCTTGCATCCTGACATGACCCAGACATGTCTGGGCTGTTGACTTGGAGCTGGTCCAGCCCTGACCATTGCAAACATGGGAGGAGCGAACTAGCAGATGGAAGAGGTCCCTCTCCATGTCCCTGTGCCTTTCAAATAAATCTAAATAGCTAAAAAAAAAATTTTAAATGATAGTAGCAACAAGGACTAAAGTCAGCTGTTCAGAAATGGGCTGATTTGCATACTTGTACAACCTTGGACCAAAGGCCACCAAACTCCAGTGCTGTGGCTGAAGCCAGTTCTTTACCCACTTCTGTAAATGAAGTTTGGTTGCAGCCAAACCAAGCCTGTGACTTTGCTGGTTTGCTGTGGCTGCTTTCCGAGCAAAACTGGGTTTTAAGATTTACTTATTTTATTTTGAAAGAGTTACTGAGAGACAAATATTTTCTATCGACTAGTTACTCCCCAAAGCCAGAGCTGGGCCCATCTGTAGCCAGGAACCAGGAGCTTTTCCTACATCTTGCATGTGGGTGCAGAGGCCCAAGGAATTGAGCCATTCCACACTGCCTTCCCAAGCCATCAGTAGGGAACTGAATCAGAAGTGGAGCAGCTTGGACATGAACCTACCCCGTAGGGGATGCTAATGCCACAGACAGAGGATTCGCCTGTACACCACCAGCCAGCCCTACCAGAGCACTTTGTAAAACTGTAACTATAACTTTCTAAAACTGCTGGAAAGCTTTTTGGCAGTTCCTACCCTGGACCAGGGTAAGACACCTGGCAGGTAGAGGGCAGTCGTTAACTAACTGACCTTCAACTCCGATCCTGATGCCAGCTCTGCTGCCACTTTCCTGGGTGTCCTTAGGCAAGTTCCCTTGGCTCCCCAGTCCTCTTCTCCATCACAGTCACAGTCCTGGGAAGTTGTCTGGCTCCTTCTTGTGTGGTTTCTACGAGGAGTCCCATTCTTGAGCCCCATCCCCAGGGAAGTGTGGGATCCAGAAGTTTCAACAAGGACTCCTGGCTCTAGTGATTCTGCTGTGAAGACGGCTCTGGTGTCACCTGCCGTGTCATCAAACCCTCCCATGCAAATCCATTGCCCAGAAGCCCTGTGGAAAATGTACATCCCTACACTCACTCCAGGAGATTCTGCTCAGTATATTAGGGGTACCCTTTGTGAGTCTCAAGCTGGCTAAAATGCCAGAGGCAGTAGGGAGTGGTGGAGACTGTGCTGAGCTGAAGCACCCCTGCCCCATCTAATGACTGGCTACTGCTGTGGGCTCGGGGGAAAGTGGTGCCCGAGCAGTTGCTGCTTAAAGGGAAGCCACAGGTCAGTTCTGTAAACTCTCCTGCTCTTCACAGATTGTCAGCTAATTATGTTTCCAAACTTTCTGCTAGCCCACTAAAATGTATCTGCAGGTTGCAGCTGCCCCAGATTTGGTGCCAGCTAAATGGTCCCTAAATGTCACAGCTCTCGGCATGCAGGGCTTAATTTGATTGACAGACACAGGACGTCACTTCCCAAGTGCACATTCTCTCTTTAATGGCATTGCAGATGTGAACACATTCAGCCCTCCTCCCATCCCCAGGCTAACCCATTTCACAGATGAGGAGACTAAAAGCAAGGGCAGTCAGCAGGTGCCTGAGCTAGAACCTGGAACCCCACAGGCTCCTTACCATAAGGTGTGCTGGAGCCACCCAGTCCCTTCCCCTGCAGTTACTGATGTGTTTGTTTGTTTGTTTGTTTGTTTTCAATTCCCTGAGCACAGCAGACTGCCCGACCCACCTTCTTCGCACGCAAGTTTGAAGCCGTGGTAAATCAGGAAGTCATCGGGCAGCTGGACTACTACCTATATGGCAACTACCCGGCAGGTACCCCAGGCCTCCGCTCCTACTGGGAGAACGTCTATGATGAACCCGACGGAGTCCATAGCCTGAGCGATGTAACACTCACCCTGTACCACTCGTTCGCCCGCCTGGGCCTGCACCGGGCAGAAGCAGCCCTGCACACAGCTGGCGAGAACAGCTGCAGGTGAGCCCTGGCCAGGGATGAGGGGCACAGAGGAGGACCCTGCCACTCCTTGTTGCATGCACCATGTCCCAGTCCCAATGCGGCTACATTTGAGTCTAAGCCACCAACGCTGGGTTTGCTCTATATTTCACCTTTGCAGAATGCCAGATCTAATATTTACCCGACGGTTCACTTTCACTGGATGTGTATGTATTTCACAAGGCAGCACCATAAATTAGGGGGACAGATTTTTCTGTGAAATGGAAGGTAACCATAAATGTGCAGACTTGGGGATGAAAAGAGGGTCACTTGGCATGATGGAAAATGCCAAATATATACAGAAGGGAAGACTAGAAGCCCTTGCTTCTCTCACCCAGCCCTGGCATTACCACCTGCTCTGTCCGCCTTAGTGCAATCCCTACTCCCTCCCCCACCACATACACACGCCCTCCTCTTCCTCCCAAGTCAATCTGAAGCAAACCCTAGGCGTCACAACATTGCAGCCATTAGTATTTTAATATGAATCTCTGAAAATCAGGGACTCCTTTCTCATGCATAGGCATAAGATCCTTAACACCTAAAAAAAAAAACCTGAAAAGCCTTCAGCCAGCTATTTAGTCTCTTCTTGCCTGTCACCAGCAAGTCCCAGCTGATACGTCAGGAATGTTCCAGATGGGAAGATCACTACCGTATCTCCCCTGCCTATCACTGACCCACCAGGCCTCTTCACCCCAGTCGTCTCGTCCGTTCCGCAGCCCCTGGCACTGGGCGATATTACACAGTGGCCAGGAGGATTGAGTGTCGGCAGCTGCCATCATGCTAAGGAACTCCCGAGCGGAAGTGCCAGAGCCGGCCTCGTTGAGCGCTGCCCACCACTAACTACCCTGACTAATGTGCCTTGTGGAGGATGCTCCAGTCCATCTCTTCCTTCCAGAAAGCCTTTCTTTCTCATTCTCCTTGTTGTTGACTTCCTGCATCCCAGAAGTGCCTCTTGCCAATCCTCCTCCTCCTCTTCCTCTCACCTCCCATGGCTAATGAGTGCAGGAAAGTGTGGTTTGCTACCCGCCCCAGTCAATCCTCACCGCGCCCGTCTCTGGTGTGGTCCTCACTGTCCCGCTTTTCCCTCTGCTCAGGGAAGGAAGCAGGAGGGAAAAGGAACTATTTTGTTCCCCGCTACTCTGAAGACACAGGCAAGCTGGGTTTCTGCAGGCCTGGGGGAGCTTGCCAGAACTCCCTGGAGCTCCGCTCTCTCTCCCTGCGGGTGCAGAGTTCATGTTAAGACAGAGTTGGGTGACCTACAGTTGAACTCAACGCTGCTTACCAGGTGTTGCCCTGGACCAAGGCATGACTCTCTTTGAGCTTCAGTTCAAAGCAGAATAATCATTCTTCCATCATTAGGTGTTGTGAAGTTCAAGGGCAACAGTCCTCAGACACTGCTCTTGGAGCCACGCAGTCCCTGTTAACAGTGCTGTGCGTGCTAAGTGCTCCTAAGTTCTCATCTGTTGCTGGTCTGCAGGTTACTGTTAGCACTAAGCCATCTACAGCAGTCCAGGGTGGGCCTATCATATGACATGGAACCTCGTTGCTGTCTCACCATGCTCTTCCCTTGCTCATATCACCAAGGATTCCCTGTCATCAAAAGTCATCAAGCACCATATTCTGTGGGAAGTACTTCTCCCAGGTAGCCATACTCCCAACCTCCCACAAGGTCAAAGTGGTCCAGGCACATCACCCCCATCACACACCAACACGTAACGTCATTGGTACCTTGGGTCAAGATCACCAGTGAGTGCCTGCTCTACTGCATGTACCCGAGAGGCACCATGCATGTCACTACTACAAGGACCCTAGAACATGTCCCTGGCACAAGGCCCAAAATTTGGGAGGTGCCATTCAAGAATAGCTTTCATGCCGGGCTCCTAGAATGTATCAAGTAAATGATCTTCTAAGAAATTCCGAAAGACACCCCCGATTTATTTAAGATTGTTGGTGTTTTCTCCTGGTACTTGTTTTGAAATGAAGTGAGCCATCAGGTGGCCTCGGGGCTGGATTCCTTTGGTTTCTTCCTCATTTTTTATTGTGATGGAACCGTTGTGCCTCGCTGTGGGCAATGCCATGTATTTATGTGTTGAAGTCAGCAAATAAATCAGGACCAAGGACCTCAATCCCGTAAGGCCACAGAGAATCATTTCCTCCGAAGCAACTGCGGAAGTGGCAAACACACACACCGAGAGCCACATTCGATCCGGGTATCCCGTGCACATGGGGCCTTTCCAGTCTGCAGTAAAACCTTTCATCAAAATAATGTTTATTGATTTTTTTCTCTTATTAGAAAATAACACATGTGGATTTCAGAAATGTTTGCAATGGCAGACAGAGAGAGCAAGAATAGAAAGTGCACTTGTGAGTCGCTGTCCAGAGATTAGGATATCTGTGTTTTGTTACGAATCCCCAAGTTCAGATGCCCCACAACCAGGGCCAGGCAATTAGCATGTACCCCTCAGTGCAGTCCCTGTAAGGTGGGCTGACCATGGGGGCCAAGCTCCAGGACATCCTGGGAGAAGGTCCATTTGGAATGACAATCAAATCTCTTGATTTTTCAAGATAAATCCGAAATTCAGATGTCTGTGTGAAGCTCCTAAGTTTTTCGATGTCCATCTTTGAATACAGGAAGTGGCGGGGGGAGGGGTGGAATGTGGGCCAAATGAATGTAATTGCGGCATCCTATGGATAAGTTTGCCAAGGTTTCTGTTTGCCAAAGACAACTCAAGAGGGTTGCAAAAAGAGACTCGTGGGTTCAGGGAAGCCTGGAGAGTCACCTGCATCCAGGAGATGTAAGGACATGGGAGCATGAGAGCAGGTGTGCACTGGCCCCTCCATGACAAAGGCCATTCTGTCCAGTACAGTGGCCACCTTCTGCCCGTAGCTACTTGAGTCAAGCAAATGTGTCAAAGGGTTTTTCCCAGCCACACTTATTCCATTCTGAGTGTTCATCGGTAGTCACGTGTGGCTGGGCGCTGCCCTCTGGGACAGCACAGATGTAAACCACCACCACTACCTCCTCTGCTCTACACTACATCCAGAGCTCTCCCCTCCCACGGTCCAGATGCAAAGCATTCTTGCATGAGCCAGGAATGCCCAACAATGCCAAGGAGATACAGGCTTTTCCCCCCAGAGCCCACAGAGGCATCCTGATCACAAAGCAGAAGCAACAGGAGTTGTGTCAATGCAGGCAGGCAGCGTCCTTGGTCATTCTAACTGGACAGAAAGACTTAAAACTCCACATTGAGCCTGCATTTAGCTGAGCAGGGACAGTGATTTGTGGAAAGCTGTTCCTTAGGAGCCCAAGCACCCTCTCATCGCGCTGCAATTTACACGTTGCAAGAGCAGCAGCCTTTCTGTTACAAGTGGAAAGGCCAGAGAGTTCTCCCCCGGCGTGTCTCCTGCCACTCTGGGCATCTCAGCTGACCTTCCCTGGCCCACTCAGCCAGCAAGCCTTGGCAGGTCAAAGACATGCCTTTTAAAAGTCAGCATAGGTGGAAAAATATTAAAACTGTTCTTAAACATGGCAAAAAATGTGTATCATGCAGAACTAGGCATGGATTTCAAAATTTTTTTGCATTGAAATCCATTTTCCTGCTGCATGTTTCACATACACACATTTGTGTGTGTGTTTATATTTCTTTCAGTTTGGCAACACTTTTCCTAAAGCTTTATTTTTATTTCCTTGAAAGGAAGAGTGATAGACAGATTTTCTACCCATGGGTTCACATCCCAAATGCCCACCAACAGCTGACATGGAACTGGGCCAAAGCCAGGAAGCCAGAATTCGGTCCAGGTCTCCCACGTAGGAAACTAAGAACCTGAACATCACCTGATGCGTAACAAGGCTGGGTTAGAAACTGAACAGGGACTCAGCCCAGGCTATGGTGTGCAGGTGTCCGAATGGGCATCCTGACTGCTACGCTAAGAACTTACCTCATGGGCTGGTAGTAATTTTAAAAGATGATAGCCCATTGTCGGTATGAGAAAGACAAGAAAAGCTTTTGATACAAGTAGGCAGCAGATATGAAGAGCCCTTTAGAGATTAAAAGAGAAAGTGAAAAATGTTCCCCCCCCCAATTTTTTTTTCTCAAAGATGTTTATTGCACCATTGTTTAGAATGGCAAAAAAAAAAAAAAAAGCTATCATTTGGTGATAGGCAAAATGTGATATCACCTGGAATGAAATACTGGAGATACACACAGCTACACACACAATCCTGTTTTCACAAACTTTTCAAAGGCATGTAATAATGCCTTGGTAATACCATGCAGAAAAGACTGAATATAGCAAGGCTATGTAACAGTAGCCTAACTATAGGGTCATTATGCAAATATATGCAAAGGAGCTAGGCAGAGGGGAGTACCTCAGGATGACAGTGTTTACACCTGTCACTCCTCAATACCTAACAGCAGGGGACCCCATAAATAACTGTGAATGACATTGTGCATGGGAAGGGGCATCAGAGGTGGTCATTTTATTTTCCTTTCCTCAAGTCTGCATATTCTGTATTATAATCAGCAAATTAATCATAGTCGTTGGGGACATGGGGACATAGAGACATAGGGAGTGTTTTCAGGTGGATATTGAGGGGTCCGACAGGCCTTGTTCAGCATAGCACCAGCCCAGTGAGTGGGGAGCCAGACTTGTGGTCCCACACAGTGGTTCCCTCACCCATGAACTGCTGCCTTTGCAGGTACTACCCAATGGGCCACCCCGCCTCTGTCCACCTCTACTTCCTTGCCGACCGTTTCCAGGGCTTTCTGATCAAGCACCATGCCACCAACCTAGCCGTGAGCAAACTCGAGACACTAGAGACGTGGGTGATGCCAAAGAAAGTCTTCAAGATTGCAAGTCCTCCCAGCGACTTTGGGAGGCTTCAGTTCTCCGAGGTAAGGGTGTGAACACCATCGCTCCTGCTAGCCTTTTGCAGCCCTCTGGTTGGGTTCTGTTCCATGGGCTGACTCTCGTAGTCAGAGATGGAGGGACAGAGGACTTAGCCCTATAAGGGAGCCCATGCTGGGCCTAGAGAAGTTCCTTGATCACTAAGTAATGGACCTAGCATCTTACACAGGGTAGAGTGGTCATCAGCAAAGAAAACAAACCCACGTGCTTGGTCTCTTCGTAGCACAGTTTATGCTTCTTAAAAGTTTTCATCCTAGCTGGTGATTCCTTCTAAGCCTATGCCAATAATTGGCTAGTAGCAAATCAGTTTCTGAATGAAGTAATAATATGAGTCCCATTGTACAGTCTGGACCAGAGCAGGGAAGAAAAAGAGCATCAAAGTGAACCCTGGGAGTCTTTGGCCACAAATTCTATGTTTCATTATGGTTTTCTCTCCTAGTTCCTAGTGTAGATGTTAGCACAACCCAAGTTGAATACATGAATCGATGGGTGGGTGGGTGAGTAAATGAATGGATGGATGAATGAGTGATGGGCGAGTGGATGGATGGGCGGGTGTGTGGGTGGGTGAGGGGTGGATGGATGGGTAGATGTATGAATGGATGGGTAGGTGGGTGGATGGACGGATGAATGGCTATGAGGGTGGATGGGGAGATGGATGGGTCAATGGGTAGAAGAGATACTGATGCATGGATGCCTAGAGTGCATCAGCCTTTAGTTACTCACCCGTCTGGGGACCTGAATCTACCCAGTGCCACCCAGCATCACCAGCCTTCCTCTGGACCCAAAAGGCTTCTCAGGCATTGGCCTCTTCCGTCTGCCTCCCTCCTTCCTGCTCACACTTCTGTCTTTATCAGACATGCTCTGCTTGTTTGTGCCTTGAGCTGGGTGCCTGCTGAACTCCCCCACCCCACAGAATGTCCCCCCCATAAAGCATGTCACATGGCTAACTAGTTTGTCATTGGTAGCTAAATCCAAATGCTACACCCTCAGAGAAGCCTTCCTTACACCACTGAAGTGACAGCCTTCATATTAATGCCATCTAAAATGATCTTATTTATCTGATTATTGTATGCCCACCAGAAAGCTGAAACTGTGTCTTTTTCACAGCTCTGTCCCTAGCACGTGTCACAGGCCGCAGATGAGGAGGGTCACATGAAAATGCTGAGTGTCATTGACAGCTCACGATGGTTGTAGCTGCTGAGTTGCAGTTTTGAATGAGGCAGTGAATGTGCTTGGGCAGTGACGCCAGGAGGAAGCCATGACCTAGTGTGGTCGGTGTCACCTGCACAGAGTTCCAGCACCTGCTGTCTGACTTCACTATGTCAGGAAGGAACTAGTTCAACTCCGTGAGCTCTGCTGCTGGTGGAGGGATGAAGTGTCTGAGTTCGGATGATAGAAGATGAGCATTTGGCATTGGGTGTTGGATGATATGGGGGCTCTGGCTGCGTGTGTTTTCCTCGCACATCTTTCTGTAGCCCTCCATGGCTGACCTGCACCCCACTGAATATGTCAAAAAAGCACCAGGAAGAGTTTGCTGCGAGGACACCAGTTTCACTAAGGCTTATAATTGACTGGCTGAGTCTGAGCTGCCAGGGGTGTTAAATTACTGGCACTAGGGGGCAATTAGCTAGTGGCCCAGTTGGATGCTGTGCTGGGGGCCCAAGCAGTTCGCTGAAGACATTAGTGTCCCATTAAAGAGATGAATGCCTGCTGTCTGGGCTCTCGCTGCTTATCGGTCTGCTGATGAGTGACCGGGCACCTGTGCCAATGACAAACAGCGTCAGCCACTCCTTGGCAACTGCTCAGTGAAAGTTCCCATAGTAGGTCTGGTCCCCCAAGTGTGAAAAACCACCAAGATTCCTGCAGAAATAACAGCATGTCATGCTAACAGCCCCGATCTTGGATTCCTGAGTTTCTTTCTGGCTTCTCAGCTGTTGTCAAGGACAAAGTTGTCACACTGAATAGGAAGGAGGTGGAGAACTGCAGGGCTGTGCTGTGGGCCATTGAGAGTCCGTAGAGCTAGCACCGTCCAGGGCCTTGCAAGGCGCCCAACTCACAGCAGGTGGCCAGTGCTGCTAAGCCACTCAAGCGAATTTCTCCGGTTCGTGTGAATCCCATGGCATTGGCGTGGAGGAGAGAGACTGACTCCTCCTGCAGACTGCCGCTCAGTGCCTGCGACGTTGGCTTCCAGAGGGACAGCGGCGAACCATCCAGACCAGGCACCGTTGCCATGGGATCGCAGTCTGGCTGGGCAGCCTGCCAGTGAGCAAGCAAATAAATGAACAAAGACAGCTTGGCTAATAACAATATCATAGAGAAAATAAAATTTCATTTGTATGATAGGTGGGGCCTTGGGGAATGACAGGGCCTGCCTTCGCTAGGCTAATTCCTTCAAGACAGCTTTTCTGAGGAGCTAACTCTGGAGCTGAAGCCTAGAGAGAGGGAGCAGCCCAGGGTGATGGGAAATATTCTGAGCAGCAATGAAAGTGGATGCAAAGGCCCTGGGGCCCTGGGCAGGAACTTGGAGGCTCAAGGAGCATCGAGGCTCATGTACCAGGAATACAGTGAATGAGCGAGAGGGAAAGCAGTGTAAGTGGGATCTTACAGGAGGCATCTAAGGGCAGAAGAGCCCTCTAGGATGTTTAGGAAGTATTTTAGACATAGTGGGAAACCACTGGTGAGTTGGAAGCCAGGAGCAGCGTGTAAGGCTTGAACTGAAGCATGTATATACAGCCAGGTGCTTGGTCACTTGGAAGTGGATGCTGAAGATGTCATGGTCGGCCCAAGGAGAAGATTGTGGGGGTCACAGGGGATGGGACAGCTCCTCAGGCTGCCCCTCCCGCCCCCTGCTGGTGGCAGCAGCTGACTTTCAGTTTGGAAATAGGATCTCTGCTGTGCAGCTCTCCTGCCTGGGTTGTTTTCATGTGGAACTCGAGTTCAAAGCACACACCATGTCCTGGGCACACAAGAGTCGACGGTTCATGCAGGAACTGCAGGTCTTCTGATCTCCCAGATGGGCTTTATTCTTTCTTTCTTTTTTTTAAATCTGCCAAATGCATTGATGAAGCCCAGCAGACAGGTTTCCAGGCGATCCTGGATCCCAGCCCCAGCTTGGGCCCAGCATTCTCATTCTTGTCTTTCAGGTTGGCACTGACTGGGATGCCAAGGAGCGGCTGTTTCGCAATTTTGGGGGCCTGTTGGGTCCCATGGATGAGCCAGTGGGCATGCAGAAATGGGGAAAGGGGCCCAACGTGACTGTGACCATCATCTGGGTGGATCCTGTCAACATCATCGCAGCCACCTACGACATCCTGATCGAATCCACCGCTGAGTTCACCCACTACAAGCCCCCTTTGAACTTGCCCCTGAGGCCTGGGGTCTGGACAGTGAAAATCCTCCATCACTGGGTGCCGGTGGCAGAGACCAAATTCCTCGTGGCCCCTCTGACCTTCTCCAACAGGCAGCCCATCAAGCCGGGTAAGTGCTCCTGGAGTCCCTGCAAGGGTCTGCCGACAGTGCTGCTCAGTGGCATGTGGCTGCTCAGACACGGGGCACAGGGTTGATCATACGGGGTACATGGTTGTTCATGGAGCCTGTGGCTGGCCAGACACAGGGCACATGCTCCTTGCTCTTGGGCTGCTCTCCTGCTCTTCTGCCCTGGAGAACCAGCGAATTTCTTATGTGCATGCCAAGGTGGCATCGCCTGTCCTTGAATTTAATCCCTGTTCATTACAGGCTCATCCTTGGTCTTCCAGGAGGTCTTACTCACATTTAAAACAAGATGGGAAATCAACCCAAGTACAGACTGAACTTTAGCAAGTCATGTTTGTTCCATAATGAAAATGGGAATTCTGTTCATCAAAAATAGGATACATGAGGCAAACAAAAATCACGTACAAGTGGGAGTGATTTGCTACGCCATGTTCGGCACGTTGTGCACGTAGCATCAGAGATGGACACGCTACTGGCCACAAGCCTGATCAGGCATACTGCCTGCCTGCTTTCCTAAGCGTAGTCTTGTAAGAACCTGGCTATGCCCTTTGATTTCCATGTTGTGTCCTTTGACTGAGTACCAAAGACTCTGGCTCTTGCCCATTAGAGTAAACAGATTGCCAGTCGCTGCTACACAAGGAGGAAGGAGAGGGAGAGCATGATTGGCCCACACAGTATGAAAACGTGTTCAAACCCATTAATAATGAGAGAAATGCAGATGGAGAGCCAAAGGAGATTTTTGCTTCTGTGCCATGCTGGGAACCGTGGAGGTCGGACAACGTGATAAGGTCACTAACACTGCAGGATAAAGGTCATCTCTCCAGGGCTAGCGGGGGGAAGGTAAGCTGCTAAGACAGCCTTGGAAGATGGCTTAGTACGTCCTAGTAAAATAGGACACACACGTGAAAATTGTACCCCAATCACAGGCCCTATCGTTACAGGTGCAGAAATGGTTGTAGTGTTTGTAGACTCAGACACACTCTAAATGAGCACCGTGCCGAAGGACAAGCCATGTGAGTTCTGTGTGCCCAGTGGAACGCAGCTCAGCCATGCGTGCCAGTGAACCACAGTGTGGGCTGGATTACTCGATAAAACATATCAATGAGGGGAATGTCACAGGAAGGGGCCCAATTAGGGAGCAGTTATTAAAAGTTCAAAAGACCACAAAACCAAAAGCATGACACCTGTTGGTTCAGGATTGGTGAGACAGCACCACAAAGCACAGTGGTTTCCACTGGACACAGAGAGCGAGAAGGGTGCCAGACACCTCGCATGCCTGCCTGATTTTCCACCTTCTCCCACGGGGTTAATTTTACATTTTTACATTCCGTTTCTCCCCCGCCGCCTTCTTGCACTGAGAGAGATGTCTTTCTCACTGCTGGAATCCTGCCTGCAGGAGGGGGTACCACCCAACAATTTGGAGTATATCCTTCGAGAAGTTTCTCAATGCTTTTACTGCATGACCATGGCATCATAGAAGCTGTGTGTTTATCTGATGGAAGAATATGGTGTGTGCTGACACTTGCTTCGGCCCCATTGCTTCGTGGATTTTCTGGGGCTAAGGAACCACTGGTTTTGGCTCCCAGACGGTGGACACACAAACCTCATGCGGTGTTGATAATGATCTGCCTATCAATATGCTGAAATAATAGAAAGAGAAAGATGGCCCATCCTCTCACTGGTTTACTCCCGGTCCCCACTGTGACCCAGGCTGGGTCAAGGCTGAAGCCTGGAGCCAAGAACTCACTCCAGGTCTCCCACATCAATAATGACCAGGATCCAAAGACTTGAACCATCACCATTCTGCATTCCGAGTAGAGCTTGGTATCAAAACTAAGCTTTCTGATATGATAAAGCAGCTTAACCAGTGTTTGAGCTACGAGACCAAGTGCCTACCCCATGGAAGATTTTAAATGTGAAACCTTGTGTGCCTGTATAGAAGCATCCATAAAAGGACTTCTAATAACAAGATTCCAAGTCCCCCCGTATCCATGGGCGATTAGTTCTAGAGTTCCCTGCAGAAGCCAAAATCCATGATGCTCAAGTCCCTGATAGGATCAGCATGGGATTCACTTATAACCCACTACCCACAGCCTCCTGAATATCACATTCAGATTACAATAGCTAGTGTAATGTAAATGCCTGGAAATAGCTGTGACACTGCACCACTTAGAGTGTAATGAGGAGGGGGAGAAAGCGTCTGTATGTATCCAGCACAGACTCAGTTCTTCTCTTTGATTATTTTCAATCCGCAATAGATTGAATCCACAGAGGTGGAACCTGATTCAGGAAACATTCCTCTCTATCTCAAAGATAACAAACTCAAAGGCCAGGATGCAATACAGACTCTGGGCGCAGTAAACACCTCTGGCATGGGTGCCCTGCAGAGCAGGGCATAGAGATGGGAAGGTCCCCTGAAAAGGGGAGGGCCTTGGAGTGAACTCTGTCAGCTCCTGCTACATCTTTGTGGTAAACAGGCAGAAGGAGAGAGACCTGGTGGTTTCTGGAGCTGGAAGCCCGTTCCTCAGTCTCCCCCACAAACCAGGCACGACACCCAAAGAACCCACTCACTTAGTGTACTGAAGTGCCCCCCTAGGTGAGTGCCATAGCTGTAGCCTCACCTCAAGAGGTCAAAGGCAGACTTGAAGAATGGCAGTGGGAGAGCCACACCTGTAGGACCAGTCCCAGACTCACTCCCACCCCAGGAAAGCACCCTGCAAGTGAACATCTGTATGTCCTGATTTCCCCAGGATTTTCTTCCAGCATTTCTGCGGTTGGTAGAGCACTTCCCACCCATGCACTGAGTGACGCAAGCATGGTTTTGCCCCCCAGGACGCAGTCCCCAGCGCGTCCGTAATCATATTTGTTAACCATGTTGCAGTGACAAGGAACACGAAGGTGGGAGCAATGCAATTTGTAAAATGATTCATCAAGAGTAATTGGCTATTGATGCGTCCCTGGTAATCTCAAGAAATCTGATGAGGTGGAATTGAGGAAAATTTAATTATAGAGGCGAATATCATGAGCTGATAGCGTAATAGCATTTCCCACATTAACCTCATTTTTCATAAGAGTTTTCTGCATCAACCACAATATCTAGTTTCCAGCACTGGGGTGTTTGCTAGCTGCTCCTTTCTCTTGGATCTCCTGCCACTTAGCAGTTTGCATTGTCTCCCTCCCCGAGACATCATCTTCCACAAGGGGGATGGGGACAGGGCATGGAGAGGCTCTGCTGTACCCAGGACAGCCAGTGCCACCCTGTCTGCTGATGGCAGAGAGAGAAGTGGACCAGGAAGCAGTTTGTAAACATGGTGGTGTCCAGCTCATGAGAAGCAGAGAGAGAGAGGACATGCCCGCTCACAGCACGACCAAAGATGGCTTCAGTGCATGCTATGCCTCTTTGCCCCATGCCCAACCTAGTCCGCCTTCTAACCAGGCACCCCAGCCCCTCAGCATCCTAAAGCATTGGCACTTGAAGAATGATATTTTTATCTGTGTTTGTTTGGATAGGTTTCATTTTTAAAGGTTTGTTTGTTTTTATTGAAAAGACAAATTTACAGAGAGAAGGAGAGACAGAGTGAAAGATCTTGCATCGACTGGTTCACTCCCCAAGGAGCTGCAACAGCTGAATCTGAGCTGATCCAAAGCCAGGAACCAGGAGCCTCTTCTGGGTCTCCCATGCAGGTGCAGGGTCCCAAGGCTTTGGGTGGCCACCCTATACTGCTTTTGCAGGCCACAAGCAGGGAGCTGGATGGGGAGTGGAGTAACTGGGATACAAGTCAGTGCCCATATGAGATCCTGGCACTTTGCAAGAAGAGGATTAGCCAGTTGAGCCATTGCACTGGTCCTCGAGGCAGGTTTTGAATTCAGCCAGTGGTGTTCTTGTAGCTATTAGAAAGAAAGGTAGGCATAATGTCTGTCTTCTTTCTTCCCCACCCAGGAGCACACATAATGGAAGAAATACAAGCCCAGTAGCATGGCTGCCGTGCTCTGCTGGTTGGCAAGGGTGGAGACAGCGGCCTTGTAGCAGGTGGCAAGCTGCATGGCCCCCTGGTGGATACTTCCATCCCTTGCCACCAGGATAGAGAAAAGTCCAATTGGGTGAAATTCAGCTCCCCAGACACCATCAGCGTGTCTTAGTTATAAATGCAGCCTTATATGAGACACTACAAGAAGCTGCTATTGGGGCCGACGCGACGGCGCAGTGGTTAAGGTCCTCCCCTTGCACGCCCGGTATCCCATATGGGCACCGGTTCTATCCCGGCTGCCCCTCTTCCCTTCCAGCTCCCTGCCTGTGGCCCAGGAAAGCAGTCGAGGACGGCCCAAAGCTTTGGGACCCTGCACCCGTGTGGGAGACCCGGAAGAGGCTCCTGGCTTCAGATCGGCATAGTATCGGCCGTTGCGCTCACTTGGGGAGTGAATCATCGGAGGGAAGATCTTCCTCTCAGTCTCTCCTCTCTGTATATCTGCCTTTCCAATAAAAAAAAAAATAAAAATAAATCTTTAAAAAAAAAGAAGCTGCTATTAGGAAGGTCTTCAAAATGGGAACAATTCAATTCTTTCTCTCACCGCCATCTCCTACACATAGTGTCTCCCCATCTTCAAGTCCTGGAAGATAGTATATGGCCCTCTCTTGCTCTTTCCTTTAAGTTTTGTAAAACAAAACTGCTTCTGCTTCTTGCCAGTACTGTGGGTCTAACTGATGCCAGGATGAACATTCCAATTTTATAGATGGGGAAATCAAGTCTTTGAAAGGTTGACTGCCAAAGGCAAAAACAAAAGCATTCCTTGATTTTTCCAGTTGCTGGATAGGCTTACAGTGGTCTATATTGATGACAAAAACAGCTTTTGAGTCAAATTGGGCTGATAAAGCCAGCCCTATAGTTGTGTGTGTGTGTGTGTGTGTGTGTGTGTGTGTGTGTGTGTATTTTATACGTCTCACACCAACAATAATAAACCTGGCTAAACTTGTCCAAGCAGTTGCCACTTTAAGCACTTCATAGGAGTTAGCCTGATTAATCCTCGCGATATGAAACTTGGGCAGACTGAGTTAAAGTCAGAAGTTGGGACTTGGGGCAGGCAAGCCCAGTAGCCTGACTGCTGCCCTGGGCTCTTAGAGGAGAACTGGCCAGAGCAGCTGTTGCACAGTGGGTTTGCAGTGAGGCAGAGCTGTCATGAGGGTCAGGGTGGTCTCGCATCCCACCCCTGTCAGGTACAAGGTTCCAAATTGACCTGGATGTGTCGGCTTGCTTTTGGTTGTGGTCTGTCTATCTCTCTTGGTGTCAGCCTCTACTAGATAGTTATTCTATGCCTGTCTGGCACTTCCCACTACCTAGACTAGTCTGGAACCTACAGGAAAAAGGTACTTACTACATTCTTATCCAAAAAAAAGTCAAGTTAATATACCTCACAAAGTGATGAGGCTTAATAAGCTTGTGTTGAGTGAACACCTTGCAAAAAACAGATGCTTAAAAACAGGCATCAGTGGATGTCTGGACCATGAACGATATTCCACAAATGCAAGCTGATTTTGCAAAGTGTATAGAAAACCGAATTAAAAGATCAGTTCTTTGGGTACCAAAAATATGAAATTCATGTTTTTTGCTAATATTCATTTCTTTCGATTTTTTTTTTTGGAAATTCATTATGCATAGACCAAGGTAAACTGATCTTTAAGCATCTTTCCATGGCACACTAGCTTCCTGTTTGAAGAGCATCTCCCATGTCGAACGAGCATCTCCTGTGGGTTCTGTCCTGGCGGGCTCAGTCTCTCCACCATCAGAGATGCTGCCATCGACTTGTGTGACTCAGATGAGGTGGTGCCCACGGCCCAGTGCAGCCCTGCGCATGCGGTGAGCAGGTGTCTGCTGAGTGGCTGTTCTAACCCTGCCACTTTTCCCTTTGTTTTACAGAGGAGACACTGAAGCTGCACAACGGGCCCCCGCGCAGTGCCTACATGGAGCAAAGCTTCCAGAGCCTGAACCCCGTCCTCAGCCTGCCCATCAGCCCTGCCCAGGTGGAGCAGGCCGGGAGGAATGCAGCGGCCACGGGCACTGTGCTAGAGGGCTGGCTGGACTCGCTGGTGGGCGGGATGTGGACCGCCATGGACATCTGCACCACTGGCCCCTCCGCCTGCCCGGTCATGCAGACCTGCAGCCAGACAGCCTGGAGCTCCTTCAGCCCTGACCCCAAGTCGGAGCTGGGGGCCGTCAAACCCGATGGCCGGCTCAGGTAGCACCGGACACATGTGGGCCGCACAGGATCTCAACAGGAAAGCTGCCCAGAGGGCTTGGTGGGGCCTCAACTCTGGCTTCCCAGTGCAGGGAAGCCTTTGTTTGTGCCAGGGGCTTGTCTGGCTATAGAATGATGCAGACGGAAGAGCTGGAGGCCAGGGTAGGTTTGCCAGCACCCTGCACTCAGCAAGCTGTGAGATGGCTCCATGCCAGCGGTGGTCTCACCTCTTCTGGTTGAACCACAAGTTCTGCAGGTTTCTTACCTTTCCCCCAACCACCCCAACAACCAACCCTCTCCAGTCCTGCCAGTGAGTGGTCTCACACTTTCGTTTGGAGCAGCAGAGCTTGGCTTGCTCAGTACAGAAATAGACAGAGGCTCAGGGTACAGGTGCAGGTGCAGATGAAGTCCAGGCTGCTGTGGGTGCAGCTTCAGGTTCCAGGTCATCTCCCAGAGCTCAGCCGGCCATGCCAAGGCCATCTCCTATGGTACCTCTTCAGAACTCAAGGGCTCTGCCAAATCCAGTTTGACAAGCACTGCCCAGGCCTCCAGTTTGATCTACAGCCTCACCCGCTTCTCTCAGCTGGAGAATACATTAACTGTTGAGCCAGCCCTGAAATGAAAGGCCCCTGGGAGCCCACAGGCCCTTCCCCCAGGGAGTCTAGCAGGCTTGGGAGGGCTTCAAGCCTTCCACCAGTCCCTCATGGACTGAGCTGTTCTCCTTCGTCAACGAGATGAACAGGAAAGTCTTGGTTGGGACATGGCCAAGGCCCATCCAGAAGTGTGGGAGAGATTGGTCCAGATCCCCCCTCTCCCTTAAGGCTGCCTCCTTTGGCAGCGGAACCGGGCTGATGCTTGTAGATATGAGCCTCAAGTCTCTAAGCCATTCACGGCCTGGAGACCAAGACCCTGGACCTCTGGTCCCGGAAATTGAGAATTTAGGGGGCCATTGCCATGAGACTCACGGGAACCTGCCTGGAACAAACTTCCTGAACTGGACAGCACAGCAGTGCCCATCGTCCAGTAGAGCCCTTTGGTTCTGAGTTCAGGTGCCCAAAGCCCCTGGGACTCGCTGCCTTGGTGCTGCTGGAAGTGGCCAGACTGCATGAACCAGCAAGCAGTGTTGCAGTTTTGGTTTGTAATGTCAGGCCCTTCCTTAGCTGAGCTACCAACCCGGCCCAACTGAACATGCAAAGTAGACAAATAGCAGGTGGAGTGGCACAAACAGGAAGGCCATTTGAAATAACAAAACAAAATCCAAGCTAGTATTTTTCACTTTGTGTGGGCTATCAGAAAGCAGGGTCAGGGATTGGGAGAGCTCCTTTCCATGCGCCCCCTGGAGGGCCACCCTGCCTCCTACAGTCCCATCTTCCTGGGGAAAAGTCATACCCCAAGTTGTCAGTGATCCTCCGGGGTTGGAGGTACTGTGGTGAGCCCTCCCAAGGCCCTGCCCGATGCCCTCACCCAGCAAGAGGTAGGGTGTCCTGTTGGCTGCATAGAACACAGAGAAGGGACACTTTAGATAATTTATTATTTGTATGTTTTAGTCCATGACTAATTCGTAGGTGCTGTTTTCGCAGCTTGTCGATTATGTTCTTATTAACGGAAGCTGCCTTTGTTCACAAAAGGCCCCCCTTTCTCTCTCCGTCTCTGCATCTGCCTTGTGTTCCCTCTGAGCCTCCCCTTCTTCTGAGTATAGCCGGGATGTTGGACCCCATGAGGAGAAGGCTTGGACCTGCATCACCCACTGGCTGGCTGCAGGGAGCCCTCGGGACACCTGGAGCCTGGCTCTTCCTTCTGAATTGTTGGGATTCCTGAACCATGCCCACCCTAGGCACAGGGACATGACAGTGGAGCAGTGTGGAGGTAGAGGTAGGGGTGCCTTGCTGAGTGCTGCCCCTGTTTGTTTCATGCAGGGGCCCCCTCAGCCCATCTCACCCAAGTCTATCTCCCAACTTGGGTCTTGAAGTGATAGCATCAGAGGGAAGGGGACTCCCTTTGGAGGGAGAACCATTGGAGACAGAAGGGAAGCTGTTGCATGAGCTGCCTGTCCAGGACAGGGTTGGCCTCCAAGCAGATTTTGTTAGAAAGCCCAAGGGACCACTATGTGGCTTCCCAGACTCTGTGGGAATCATGGCCCCCAGCCCCTGCCTCTGACCAGCACATCCCTGAGGGTGGAAGGGGCCAGCCAGTACAGCCATTTAGGGAAACCTCTTCCATCCTCCTCGCCTGGCTGCTGGAGTCCTCTGTTCTTTGCAGAGGTATGGGGCTAAGCCCTGGTAGGACCGCTTGAATGATGGGAGCTGCAGGCACTCAGGCAGGGTCCTCTTGTCTGTCGCTTCCCTCCACCCTGAAGCAAGTGCAACAATGAAAGAGCCAGCTTCCTCTGGGGACCACCCCTCTCTCGGGGAGTCACACACAGCATTCCTTTGTCTTCTGTGTTTGGGGACCAGAGGATAATTTTTGCAGATTTCCATTTGGTTAAGCAGGGAGGAAAAGGGGAAATTGCAAACAAAGCCCAGTGAGATGTGAGAAAAGGACATCTTGTCCTGGGAAAGGGACAGTGTAACTTCTGTTTTGTTTTGTTTTCCATTGGCACGAGAATGGTTTATTTGTTGGAGGTCATCTGTCAGGCAGCCTTGAACTGTGGCTGCCCCAGGACACGGAAGACACAGAGTTGTGGCCTCCATAGGCTGGGGGCTGTTTCCCACCTGCCCCGTTATGCCACCGAGGCTGCTGTCCAGCATCATGGCTCCAAGGTAGAAATAAATGGCCACTTCACAGGCCCCCTGGATTTAAGAAGTACATTTGGTCCTCCTTCCTCTTGGAAAAAGGTCTTCCAGTGGGACTAGGGCTCCCATAGGCTTCATTTCTCACTTGTCAATTTCACTTTGGAAATGTAAAGGGATTTACAAAGGGTGAGTGAGTGAGTGAGCTCCAGCCGCCAGCCCAGAGTGGAAGGCTGTATCTTCTCCAGTGGGTGGTGTCTTCTTCTGGGAGGGCGGGGACTGAGCATCCTGTGGTTCTCTGCTTTTACAGACACGAGATGGACACTGGCCCCCGTTGTGGAGCAGGTGCACAGGAAAGAGCTGGAGCAGCTAGGGGTGGGGTGGGAGCAAAGATCCTTTTCACAATGAAGTTTATTCTGGAATCAGGACCTATGGGGCAGGGATAGGCAAGCAGTAGCCAGCATAGTGCAGCTTTAGAGGACAGCCCGGGACGCCTTTCAGACCAAAGCCACAGATCTTAAGCAGGAGGCATAGATACCTGCTGAGGTCTCGGACTCACGTCCACAGGAGTTAGACAAAGGCCACCACCGGGCGAGTGCATGCTCCATCCAGAACTGTTGCTTCATGTGAGAGTTCAAATCCATGGGAATGCAAGCTTCCACTTAGGCAAAGAAAACCATAAGCCAAGATTTTTTTTTTCTTAATTTTCAGTGTTGGCAATTGAAAAAAAAAAAGAGCACAAAGAAATGGCTCATAGTTCCCACATGGGCATAGCTGGCAACATCTGCTCCCTGGGGTGGAGTTGGGGCAACGGAAGAAGAAATCCCTGGCATTAGGGAAGTGCAGAGAGGAATAGCTCGTGCGGAACTGGCCGCTCCCCTCCCTGAGACAATCCTACAGAACAGAAGGAATAGGATTCGGAGGAGTCCTGAGGGCTGCAGCATAGACACGCTCGGGTTCCCATCTGTCTGGGTCTGCACCATCAGGGATCCCACCAAGCGTGGCCTGTGTGGCCAGGGCAGGGTCCAGGAGGAGCAGGACAGCCAGGCTCTGTCTGGACCCCAGGTCTTGGCAGCACCTTCTGCCTCCGGAAGCCACATGGGGCCGCACACACTCATGGGATGCCCTCCTTGCTTCTGCTTCATGGGTCCACCACAGACGCTACCTCATTGTGTCTGCTGAGAAGTTTACCTAGAGAGGGGAAGGTGTCCAAATCCACTGGGGCTAAATGTATGATCTATGCAAATATCCCTCTCTATCTTTCTCTTGTCTCTCTTCTCCTTTTCCTCCTCTCTTGCTCTCTCTCTCTTAGAAGTATTATTTTTTAACCTTGCAAACAGAATACTGTACTCTTAAGCCTGAGGAAGGCTTCTCGCCCCACCTGCGTCCACCCCTCGCGTTGTCTTTGCTGAGCCCCAGCTGGGGAGAAAGTGGCCTCCTTTCTTTCCACTTGGCTGTGGGACCCAGCCTCTGCCCAAGGCACCACCAGGAAGCAGGTTCTGCCCCTTGCTGCTCCACCCCCACCAACTTCCTAACTCCATGCCCCCCATTCCTCATTCCCTTCCCACTTGCTTCTCCATGTTCCTCTCCCATCTTCCCCCCTTCCTCCCAAAAGCCTTAGGTTTTTCTCCTTTTTGAAATGTGGCCTTAAAATTATTTTCGGGAAAGCCGACCACCCTCTCTCTCTGAGTCCTTCCAATGTCACAGAAGGCAGAGCACCTGGGAGCTGGCTGTCACTTAAGGGCACCTCTGAAGTGAAAAGCTGCCCATCGGCACCTTGTAGGTGCCAGGAACATCTCCCACCAAGGGTGTCTTTAGGAAAGACAAGATGAAGGCTTGGGTGCTCACAGGAGCTGCTGCCAGCTCTAGAGCATTCTCTAAGCCTCAGAGGGAGGGGGCAGGGGCGAGGAACCTGGCACCTGCTGGGAGGAGCTGGCTAAATGGGTCCTGCCCCTCCCCCGTGAGTGGGTGACTTCAAGTCCTCATTCTAGGGTGAATTGGAAGAGGCTCTGGAGCTCTTGTCCTGCCTGCCTGGAATGGGATCACATTAGGTATCCCAGCACAAGGGTCGTGTTCTTAAAGCGGTCACCCCCGCCTCCCCTTGAGACAACACCTCCTCCTGTTACTCCGTGCTAATGGAGGCCAAAGACAACCCCAGGGTTTTCATAGGAAATTCGCTGGAATTGAACGCAATTGTCTTTGTAGTCCCTTTGTCTTTTTTTAATTATTATTTTTAATTTTTTAAAGATACAGTTACGTTGTCGATAGTGTTTATTTGGGTACTTGTTGGAGAGGCCTCACCATAAGTTATTACTGTCCCCCTCATTGTTTTCAAAGACATGTGGTGATATAGTTTTTAAAAATAACTATTTTGTTATAGATCATAATATGCATAAAACTGTACAGAAATATTTTGTAATGTATTGATTTTAAAAAAGAATCTGTAAATAAAGTTTTAAAAAAAAGAGTGAATTCAAATGGCACACACAGAAAGATGTAGATATTTTGCTATTTATTTAAAGGAGTATTTTAAGAGATCTTGAACTATCTGCAATTGACCAACATTCAAAGTTCCAATCTCCAATCATTTCCTCAAAGCAGAGTGTGGCTCTCGGCATCAATTGCGTGACCTTCCCGTTTTTGCACCTTTTCTGTCTGTTTCATTTAGCAGGAAAACCACCACCACAACAAAATTGTGCCTTAGCTGTATTTTTTCGTCTAGGGGAGTTTGTTTCTGTCTGACAAAGCAACATTTTTGCAGAAAAACAGTGGATGTACAAAATACTGTATCATACCAAAAACACTGCAGGTGTATATAGATGCTTTCTGTCATACTGTGTTTTCAGATGCAGAATTTTAAAATAATAAAAAAAAATACTGTCTTTATGAAACAGTGGCTGTGTGGGTTTTTTTTTTTTTCTCCCCCAGCAGTACTATGCATCTTTCTGCAGTCCTGTTTTGTCTGTGGTCTGCTCAGTGGCAGATAGGATAACCATCCATCCTGGGATGCAGAGACCGCGACCTCCGCGGGGCCTCTGCTGGGGTGGCCTGTGTGTGTACATATGTCCCTTGGAGAAGGCTTTTGGATCTCCCAGCTGGATCACTGCAATATCTTCCTGGGGAAATTCCTCGGGTGAAGGCACAAGTATGAGTATGAATGTAAAATGCTTCCTGGGTGGATGGTAGTAAGGGCAACGCCACCCACAGCTAACAAGGCTTTTCTTACGTCATCGGTCAATCTGTTGCCCTTTCCTCTTCACCCATGCTAGATCATGTTTCCTAGGGCGCCTTGTGCTCAGATATGCTCAGGTGACTTTTCTCAAGCCAATGGAACATTGGGGACATGCCCATGAAACTTCCCTGAGGGCTTCCTTTCGGTCTGTTCTGAATCGTTTTGATTTAGTGTGTTCATTCAGCTGGTTGATTCCATAGCTCGCTCGCTGTCTCTCCCTACCCCCATCTCTCCTTCTGGAAATGGTGCACAGCCCTCTGCACAAAGCAAGGCAGCTCTCTGATCGAGAAGGAGCTTGAGCTGAGGGCCACATGGAACCTATTGACCATACACACCCCATCGCTGAAGATGTGAGAACTGACAATGCCTCCAGGACAGCAGCTGGCCATCCCGAAATGGCAATTTGGATATTCCTTCAAGAAAACACAAACATCAACCCCTTCGTTCATGAGGCAGAAATACAGAGAGCAGAGTGGGTTGAGGGATTCACCTGATACTACTCGTAGTCATTTTGAACAAGTTGAGAACCCAGAACTTCTTACCCCTCAGAGGGATCTGGACAAGTCATGGCAAGGAGCCCTCTGTCTTTGAGCTGCCATGAGAGCCTGGAATTGGGAGTATCCAACTGACTGGGTTGTGAGATGTCCACAGCTCGCCCTTTAAAGTCCTCTAGAGGGCCAAGGGTGGCACTGCGACCCAGGAGAGTTTTTTCAGTTGGGGTATGTGTTTTCGGAGAGATGTGGCAGCTTTTGCCACATGGAGCTTGGCTTAGAGAAGGTAATATATAGTGATAGAGTACTGGGGTCTATTGTATACAGACATGGGGGTACAATGGAACATGTATCCCTGCATCCAGACGAAAGATGGATTCCCAATGAAACTGTTGGACATGTGTAGACAATGGGATGATGGAAATTAGTATGGAGGACACTCAAACAACTGAAAATCTGCATACCATATGATCCAGCAGTAGCACCCCTAGGAATATATCCAAAACATCTGTTACACGAGAAACCAACAAGAACAGATTTTAAAAATTAGAAATGAAGAGGCCACTCCATGTGACCGTGATCCATGAGTTCTGTTGATTTGCAAACCCTCCACCCTACCTCACCCCATCGGTACATCTCCAGGGTCCCTGGGGGTCCATCAGCAACCAGGCTGTGACACCCACAGAAGCAGCTGCACTCTGCAGCGTTGCCCTGCGACCTTACTGCCTAGGTGCTGGAAACCAAGTTCTAGGCCAAGACTCAAGAGCAGCTCCTTCCTCCTCTGAACTGAAAAGGTCGCAAAGGTAGAAACTCAAGTTGGGTTGAAGAAGGCTGATATATAATCAAGCAATCCCACGCCTGGATAGTAACCTGAAGACATGAACCCATTGTATCCAAGACACCTGCATGACCACGTTTGCAGCAGCACTGACCACAATAGCTGAAACACAGAATCAGCCAAGGTGTGCACCATTAGATAAAGAGGTGGTACACGGACACATGGGATACTTTTGAGCTCTAAAAAAAAGAGTGAATTCTATCATCTGCAGAAGAATGGTTGGAACAAGAGGTCATCATGTTGAATGAAATAAATCAGACACAGACAAATATATATTCTTATATGTAGAAGCTAAAAATTCTTTAAACAACTTTTTAAAATGTCTGTGTGTGTCAATTTGGTGCAAATACAGAGTTTCATCAAAAAGTCTATACTCCGAGAGATGTTTCTTTCCTAGCATTTTCTACTCAATAATATTTATATATTTTAAATAATAAAAAGAGGCAGAGTGGCTCTGAGGTCAACTCTCAGCTCCTGTGCACTTACCCTTGGACCCTCACGCAGCCCCCTCTCTGATCGGGTGCCTTCAGCCCTCCCCGGGCCTGGCCCTGCCATTGGCCTGCTCTGAGCCGCTCTCCTGGGAGCCATCTCAAAGGAAGGGAAGCCACCAGCCACAGAACTCCTTGCCAGTTCGGCTATTTGCCAAGGTGAGCAGTCCTCTTTCCACTCGGCACCCAGTACAGAAGGAACACATAAGGGTCAGAAAGAAACATCGGTGTCTACAAAACCCAAGGTTGTTAGACTTGCAGGTGACAGAAACCCAAATCCCAGAAGTGTCAAGAGACGAGGGAGTCCTCAAAGCCTGAGACAGTGATGGCAAACAGTATCAAAGGGAAAAGAACAGGGACTGGGTGGCCCTACAGGTGCCTCGATTTCGGGTAATCTGTATTTTCACAGTCTGCTTTACTGCCTCTCTCTCTCTCTCAGTTAATGTGGCAGAGAAAGGGAGTCCCAGAAGGCTGTGCCTCTTGTCCTTCAAATACGATGACAGAGCTTTGTCCTGGTTGCAAAAATAATAAATAATAAATAATAAAAATGATCCTAACTCCAGACCCACCTCTGGGATCAGCCAAGCAAGGCATTAGGACTAGCTCTAGGCTACTAGCATAGGTCCGCCCCTGCAGCCAGGGGATTGGCTAGGGATGTGTGATTGGCAGCCCCATCCTGACAGCAGGAGTGGAGAGCATCAGAGCCAACGCCAGGAGTGGGGAGGAGAGCGCTGAACAGACACAAACAACAGATGTCCATCTACTGCCACGGCCAACTCCAGACCCAGGTGGCTGCTCAGCGTGCCAGTGCAATTCGTCTCTGCTCCTCAAGTGCCTGAATGGTCCCGGCCCTACTCCTGTTCCTCCCTCCAAGGAGAAGGGCTCTGGAACTGGCTTAAGCCACTCATTTTAAATAAGGATCACATGGATGGTGCAGATTTTCATCCCTTCCCCCCACTTAATTAGTCGTGGAGTACTTATGCTGTGGGAAGACCTGATGGCTCCTTTTATCCTTGGAGCCTGGGCACAAGCCTCATTAAAAAGGCCTGTGGAGCTGACCTATGCTAATCACCGAGGAGGGCTCCAGGCTTGTAGCACAAAGCAGGGCCAGGGGTACAGTAGCAGTGTCTCTCTCTCCACATTCCTGTCACTTCATCCTCTGGGGATCCCTCCCCCCACCCCCCCCCACCCCCGGAGGCTTCACTTCTCTGCTCTTAACTCCTCAGAATCCAAAATTGGAAAACTGCCCTGTGATGAGGGTGCCGAGGCGCTGGGATCTGCTGAGCCACTGCACTTCTTCAAGCGGAGCTAGGAAGGAAGCTAGCGCTGAGCCAGTGTTGGAAAGCCCTGGGTAGTGGAGCGACCATGAGGCTGTGGCGACCCGGAATAAATACAAGCCAGGATTTTCCAATCACACCCCCAGGCAAGTCCCCCAAGCCTCGGTCCAACACAGGGACCGGCTCTACCATCAGAGAAGGCCATGTTCAGACACTCGTGTCACCCTGGATCCATTGAGTCAGGTCTGAGTCAAGTTCCCGAGCTTCTGCACCTCCGTTCTAGCTGCGTGGTTGGCAATGACCTTCAATAAAGCTGCTGGGGGACTTGTAAAGAGACAGCGTGTATGCAGTGGGTCACCCAGAGCTAGCACACAGAATATGTCTGAGCCGCTGGCAGGCAAGTAAGCCTCTTGAAGACAGGGAGGAGACCTATACTTGGAGCCAGAAAGATGAGATGCTGCGGCAGTGTTTAATGAGTGATTGAATAGGAGAACAAAGCAACAGGACTGTGGCTACATCTGCCTTTTCATCAGGGACATTCCGTGTAGTTTAGTTGCCCCATTCATTCTCTATTAGAGTCTTGGTATCTTATTATGACAAAGTGGCATTCCTTTGATCGCTGGCATTCAGGTGAGGTTTGTAGAAGGGCATCATTGCCCCCAGCCTCTTTGGATGTCTTTGGGGGGAAGTCAGATTTGGCTACATCCCTGGGTTCCACATCCACAGGACTGGTTCATTTTGTAGATTGCTTCTATAATCTGCAGGTGCGTTTTTGTTCCTTTCTGGATTTTAGCACTCTTCCCTAGTAAATACTCCTCCAGTCCCATCTCTCCTCCAAACACTATTGGAGAGCTCTGTGGGCAGCAGACTTGAGCAAAGCTGTTGAGTAAGGGATGACACAGCAGCATTTCAAATGATTTCTATCCAAGTTCATCTTGGATGGCCCCATCCTCAAGGGCCCAAGCACCTGCCTGTGTGGTCTCTAGGCTTACAGTCGTGTCTCTGAATTCTTCTCTTCATCCCATATTTCTTTCTTTCTTTGCATCCCAAAACATTATGATCTGTTTTTATTCAGTCCCTCAGGGCTTTGTGTTCCACACCTAATGAAACCTGTAAAGCTAAGTTGTCTTCTAGTTCTAAAGTTAGGTGGTTCCCTCCCCGGGGGAGCCCTGATGTCAGTTTTGATGTTAGGTACTACTAAATGTGCTCCCTCTTGCTTGCCCTGACATAGCACACTTCCTTGCAGCTGAGTGTTATCTGAGCCTTTGGGCTCCAGTCCTTAGATAATGTTTTACTCTTTTGTCAGACATCCAAGCTCTCCATAACCACAACAGAAATAATTTCAGCATCTCCAGCTGCAGTCTCATTTTATCATAAGTAGGTGCTCATTTAATCAGGGGTGGACGGGGTGAGAAGCAGGTAAGCTAAAAGGATGCAAAGATGCCCTTGAACTCCAGGAGCAAGTATTGTTCAGAGATAAGAACATTCACCTTGCAGGATCGGGGCCAGTGACAAACGACTTCCTGCCAACTTTTCCAGCCTTGACTGCTCACAACCTGGTC